GTCATGGATAATTTGGGACTTCAAGGATATATAAATTTTTTGGTATTTAGAGTTGGAAGATGGGTTTAGGTTGAAGTCTGCTGGGAAGGCAAAAAGAGAGGAATGGGGTTCTTTTTTTAGGAAGAAAAGTTATCATGAGATTCTTGTAATTTTACTGTATTTTGTGATGGTTGGGATCTATGAGTATTTGGCAGGAAAGAACCTTCTGGGGCAAATGTCATTTGGTCTTCCTGTGTTGGAGTCAAAGGTACTTTAAGCAGACTCAGGCCTGCTTCATTGTCCTAATAAGGCTTGTTGCTGTTCTGTTGATTTTTAAGAGCCAAACATTACTCATCCCTTCTCTTTACAGCACAAATTCATGATCTTTTTTATGTAATTGTTCTCACTGAACTTAGAGTTTATAGTAGAGCAGTTTTCAAATTTTCCTGGCAGCCTTTAAATAGAGACAACCCTTTCAAGTTCAGTGCTTTGTAGGTTGTTTTATGATGTACCTGGATCCCATACGTATGAGGGGTGTGTGTGTGTAATTTACATTGACGTGTACAGATTTGTTTTAAAAAATGAGATGTTTTGTAGACCCTTAAAATATCATGTAGATACTAATGACTGTTATTGATATAATCATTATTATATTCTCTGTTTTGCCTCTGTGCCTCCCAGAACAGCCACCTCAGAATTGATTCTTTTTTCCCCTCCAAAAAATTCCCTTGCTTTGTTTCTTCTCATTTCCCCCTGTCTGACCCAATTTTCTTCAATCACTTGTGCCTTTTGGCTCATCTTTCTTGAGTTTGGAAGTAAAGATGGAGACCCAAGTGGATATCCCAGCTGTCTCTCACCAGCCAGGGGATCTCAGTGTCTCAGTTTCCTGTCTCTCACGTGAGGGTGAAAGTACACAGCATGGGTCCATCCCATTAGCAACCATGTGCTGCTCCCTGCATTCTCATTAGCTTAGAATAGCTTCCATTTGCAAGTTCTTCTGAAGTTTTCCCAGCTAGTTTACTGTAGCTCACCATTCCTGTTCTTATATTTGTTAGACTTGTGATTTTGTTGGTTTCATTAACTCCAAGGAGGCCTGATTTCTGTGCCATCCCACAGCACTCTCATGTGGAAGCAACACAGAAAACTTGGTGCCTGGGTCCATGCTCTGGGTCCTGGGAGGCAGGGTGGACATAATTGTCAGAGGGCAGCTGGGGTCTTGCTCAGCCCTCAAGATCTTCAGTGCCCTTCTGACCAGCCCAGGACTATAGCAAAAGTAGGCCAGAATCCCTCCTATTGCAGCTAGATAAGAGTGGAGAGGCCCTGTACTGGTGTTGGTGGCATTGAGAAGCCTCTGTCTGGCTCTCTGCTCTCTGTTCCCTGGGTCTTGCTTCTCCTCAGGCATTGCTGCTGTCTGCTTCTCTACCAGCTACTGTGGGACAGCCACAGTTACAGGTCTAGGCTACATGAAGGGCTACCTGGGCTGCCACTCAGAAAGGTGTGACCATGCCCTGGGCTCCAGGTGGAGGTACCTAGAGTGCTGGGAGCCATTAGCCAAGTAAGTAGGTATGACAATTTCCTTGCCAGCGTACCCCATGTTGCAGTGACATTGAATGTACGTGACCTTGCTCAAGGACCAAGGCAGATTAGGGTGTTCCCGGTTTTAAGATAATCGGGTTTAGGGCGTTCCAGGTTTAAGATTATTCCTGCTGGGAATAGGGCGTATCCTGCTGCCTGAGTTCCCCTTGAGTTCTCACGGGATTCAGACAATATATTTTGGAGATAGAAGCCCAGTGGAGGTGGATTTGGGCAGAGAACGTGGATTTGGGAAGAGAACGTGGATTTCCCCAGAACGTGATTGTAGACGGCTGGTGTGAGTTCGGGAATAAAGAGTTGCTGTTTGAATCTACAAGCTGTGTGGTGGCTCGTGATTGTGTGCCCAGCCAGACTGCGGCATTTGTGCCCAGCCAGACTGCGTCACTAGAGGGTGTTTGGGAAAGACCTGTGGTCCAGGCCACTCAGCAGATGTTGTGACTACCTCCACAGGACCCAGTGAACACCCATTTCTACTGCAAGGTCTTTTGTTATATTTAGCCTGATGAATGAGTGTAAAGCCCACAACTGCCTCAACACTTCAGCCAAGTAGGAGTGTTCTTTGTCCTTTAGGGTGTAAACCTGAAACTCACAACTTCTGTGCATTGTGAACAGCAGCGCGTATCTCACTGAAGCTGTTCCTGGAAACCCTGGAGTGCTTGTTCAGCTGCTGCATGGCCTCGCAAAACCCAGGAGTCTGGCTGAAGGCTCTCATGGGGCTGTTTCCCCAAATGCCCAATGGGATGGTGAACACTTGCATGTTAATTGAGACATTACTTATGGTAGTACTTTGAAACTTTTCAAGCACCAGACAGAATTTGTTTGGCACAGGATGGTGTGGAAGTTGAGAGAGATGGGGACGTGTCCTGCCTGTGAAGACTTCTATTACTAGGGGAAATAAGATATGTGTGGGTGTTTAAAGATGATTTTTTGCACATCTCTTATGGCTTCAAAGTTCTGGGGAAGGTCAGTGGGGAGGAAGCTTGTGGAGCAGGTGATGTCTGAGCTGGGATTGGAAAGATGGCTCCTTGAGGTAGCCAGTGTGGATGGGGCATTGTTAGATGATTTTGAAGGTCAAGCCCTCCAGGCCAAGGCAGTAGTGTGAGAAAAGGCACAGGTTTGGAAACATGTCAGACTGTATATGCCAACCAGTGAGCTGTATTGGAGCATTGGTTTGGATTTGTACCCTGGGTTGGGAGGACCTGTGGGCAATGTTGAGCCAAGGGAGTGCCAAGGTCAGAATGGAGTTTTAGGGTGAGTCATCTGGCAGCAGTTTAAATGGGTGGAGTTTAAAAAGACTGGAAACTCTCTTTAGTGGAAGACTACTAGAAAACTATGTAAACACAAAAGTTTGTTTATCTTCCAATTATTATTTTAAGAGTAAATGTGATAGAAGTATGTACTTCTACATAGAAGTACATTTGGAGGCATCAGTCAGGGTGATACAGGTCCCAGGCTTCCCAATCCAGTAGCAGCAGCAGTCACTCTGAAACAGTGCCTATCCATTAGGCAGACTGTTGTGAGTGAAGACATAGTGCTGCTCAAGCAGCATGTGCAGGTCCCTCGCACCCTCTGACTGTGTCCTCCCTTTGCTCTTGCTTTTCACTCTTGTCTTGGATCCTGCCCGTGCCTGGACTTGACTTCCTTGACTTAGTTTCCCATTCAATACTCAGTACTGGGGCTTAATCTGTTTCTTTTCGTAGGTTGTCCTTGACCCTTTCTAGGAAGCTCTCCCCTTCCTGGTGATTTGGAGAAAACACCTTCTGAGACCACCCCATTCCACCAAGACTAAGTCCAGGGACCTCCTCTGTTGTAGCCTTGCTGAAGGGACCAGCCTAGAGACAAGTGTTGAGATGGGTGGAAGATTACTGACTACTCTTGAGCTTTGGTCCCCTCCAAGGAGAAAGGGAGATAGGTTTCTCTCTCCCCGTTAGTCTGGGAAGCTTTAATGTGGTAATGATGGAAAGGACTGGCTGTATCCAGTGAATATTGGTTACCTCCAGATTTGTTTGTTTGTTTGTTTTTCCTGACCTATTCCAGATGAAAAACATTTCCTGAGCAGCTCAGCATGTCCTCAATCTCTCTTTCTCTATATATGTATCTTCTCATCTCAGTTATATTTTCCTTCTTCCTTCTTTGCAAAAACTTTGGTATAAAATGTTTAGCATTTTGTATTTTCTACTCCAAAACTTTGTACCATTGCCTTGAGATCCCATGATATGTACCATTGCCCCTGAGATCCTATGATAGAACTGGAAGCATCATTACCTACAGAAAGAATTTTACTTAATTCACTATGAGAACTTTAAGAACATTTTGATCTGCACAGGCTTTTAGGAAATTCTAACAGCATTGTTCATTTTCATGAATAAGTGTTTGAACAGATGTTCCCAAGCTGGCAGCTTATCAACAATTTTACCAGAAGCTATCTATTTGTAACCTGAGAACTTGCCATCCCCTGTTGTGTTACTGTTATACTCCTAAGCTTGGTGTTGAATGATACATAGGAAGCATTGATAGTCACACTGATACAAAAGCAGTGTGAGGTTAGCCATGAGCCTTGTGCCTTCCTGATTGCTAAAAATGCAGGATCTCAAGTTCTTGAAGTCTATGGCATGGAGGTTTCTGCCAAGGAAGAAGAGGTGCTCAGAGCTTTTCCCATGCACCTCCTCCTACTATAAGCATCCGCTCTCCTGATGACCTACCCTTCACTTCCCTCTTCTGCCATAAGTGCGTAGGCCACACTTCCCCAGAGAAGGTGACTTATTAAGACCTTTTATGTGCCAAAGTCTGGGGGAAGTCTAGTCCCTGCCCCTCCATGGGGTGGGAAGGCAGAATGGCAGGCATGCTCTAGTCTTTAAAGGAATACCAGGAACTACTCATTACTTTACCGAGAAAAGTATGACACCAAGCACCTAGCGGGAATCAAACGCTGTAATAAGTGCTGTCAAAACTGCCCTCCTTTTTTGGTCACCACAGCGAATCTATAATGTAGATGTTAATGTCAATCTCATTTTTTTAGATTCAGGCTTTGGAAGTCTAAGTGACTTAACAGCTATGAGTCACCCAGTTATGAATGGCAGAGTCAGGTTTAAATACAACTTATGTCAAAGCCCAGGCACTTAGCACTCTCCATGCTGCATAGGTTGTGGGAGAGACTGTGCCTACAAGGGACCCAGCAGCTGGTCCCTATGCCTGTGACACACCCACTCCATGCATGCTTGATGTGGACCAGGGAGCATGCTGGACCAGTGGCTGCAAGTGGAGGTTCAGTGCCAGGCCCTGTGCCTGCTATGAGACACAGCTCTGCCCTGGCCCCCCAGGTCCTGTTGGCTAATTTCCTGCCATAGTCTTGCAGGGAGTGGGTAGTGTGGGGAGGGTGCAGGCTCTTGCATTTTAATTCATTCCAAACAATCTGTTTTGCTTCTCAGGTACCCAAATAAGCTGTTTCTCCCCAAGTTCTTTCTCCTGGCGTCAGGCTGCCTTTGTGGATTCTTATTGCTGGGCTGCTGTTCAACAAAAGAACTCTCTGCAGAGTGAGTCTGGAAACCTTCCATTGTGGCTGCATAAGGTAATAGAGAAACTTTCCAATCTGTCCTACTCGTTTTATAGATGAGCAAGTGGAAGCCTAGAGAGATTGTGCCTGTCCACAGCCTTGTGGATAGGTATGGCCAACAGGACTGTTTCTCAGATTATAAAGCCACAGCACTTTCAATTCAAAAGATACCTCAGAGCTTCCTTGGTCCTGCAGCTTTGCATAGCAGATGGGGACACAGGTGCTTTGGATTTTCAGCTCTATAACAGAAGCACCTTGTTGGTCTCTATTACTTTCCATTAATACCCAACAGAATGTCTGGTTCCTAGGAGGTTCTCAGTACATTCTGAATGTTTGAAAGAGCAGGGCTGAGAGTAGCAGAGTCAGGATTTAGCAAAACTCCTTCACCAGTGACTTTTCTGTCACGTACAGGGTATCTTGGAAAAAGTAAGGACCAACATAGAGTTTGGTTTCTTCTAGCCAATGCATTATTGGGGCATTCAGAAGCCCAAAAGTGTGACTCCTTCTGGGAGTGCTAGGTGCAGCATGGCTTTTGGAGTAGATTCCTTTGCTTTCTGATGGGTCCAGGCCTTGCAAGGAAGGAGAGATACTACACAAGAGACATCAATATTAGGTTCTGTGTCCTATAGAGAAGAGGGGCAGGTCAGGAGCTCTGTGGTCAGGGGAGTGCTATGGAGCAGGAGCACATAGAGACTGGAAGCTAAGAACCTGGGCTGGAATTAGCAAGTTTGTGAAGAACATTCTGAGTAATAAAGTAACTACTTTAGGTTTTCTCTGTGCATAGGAAAGGAGGACTTTGTCTTCCTTTCCGCCTGTCATTGTTTCAACCCCTGGTTCTTTTGTCATTCATGAAATGAGAAGATGTTTGTGTATCTTCTGGTATTCTCATCTACTGAGGAAAGCAAAAAATTCTAGCTCTGAAAACTGAAAGACTGAAGTTCTGTTTGACTCTCTCTTGCTTTAAGCTACTGCTGGATGACCAGTCACTGTCTTCCCTTTTGAAAAGAACAATTGCAGTTTGCTGTAACTCAGGCCTGTTTTTCATCATATTTGTTTATTGCATGTAGTTTGGCATTGTGGTGCCCTACAGTGACTCCTGTCTGTATTTGGGTTGGGCTTTTCTCTTTGATGTTCAGCCGAGCCATTGGATGAATCCTTGCCAGCTTTGCCTGGCTTTGTAGCCAAGGCAACATAACATAAGGATCTGTGGCACAAATAGACACAGGTCCTGAAGTTGGACAGCTTTGTAAATCTCAGTCTATGCTGTGGAAATTTACATCCATGTATTAAAAGCAGTTATGGAAATGCAGAGTTGTAACCAGCTACTGTGTTGGGCATTAAGGCAGCCACTGAAGAAGATTGTATAACTGGGATTGTCTAGTTTAAGAGCTTGCAGCAATATTTGTGATTTTGAAACTTTTGGAACAAGAAGAAACTCAAAAGGTTTTTGTCCAGATGCATTTCACATGTTAGAGAACCTTGAGAGATCAGGCCCAAGAGTCAGGACTAGTTGCCAGCTGTACAGATAAGAACTCAGGCCTGCAGACTCCCAGCCCATTTTCCTACCATCAAGGAAGCGGGGGTATGGGAGCAGTCAGTGAGTAGTCAAGCTTTGGATTACCTGACATCCAGGAGAGACTAAGAAGTTCTTTCTCAGTAGATTAGCTTGTTTGGACAGATGAGCAGAGTTCTTGCCAGATTCACAGGGCTGGGAACAGAAATTGAAGTCAGGATCTGCTGCATTCGGAGGTTGGGACCCTGAAATGCCATTCCTTGGGAGTAAGGGGTGATGCAGAATTAAACTAGCCCGCACAGGAACTAGAGTCCTAGTTTGCATCATTCAGTGCCATTGGAATGAAGGAGGTCTGGCATTGCCAGTGTCTTTAGTTTGTCTACCTGCCTGCTAGAATTAAAAATAAGTCCTCTCTGGAGGAAGGTGTCACTGGCTACAGCCTCAGATTTGTGCTCTGGTTTTTCATATAAGGTATTTAGAACTTAACTCAGAGATTCAGATGTGCAGGAAAACCAAGGGAAAAAAATCAGAATGGAAACAGACCTATAGGAAATCCACTTCAGACACCCATTTTAAATCATTACTAATGAGTTCAAAGAGTTATGAAAATGTGGAGAATTTCACAGAACTGGAAACTTCATAAAAGAGTCAAACAAATTCTCAAACAGCAGGTGCAAAAAATTTTATTTCAGCTGACGTTCATTGAAGGCCCTCGGTAAGCTAGGATGTGGGCTTGATAGCAGAGAGCTGCCAAGGGACATGGTCCCTTCCTCATGGATCTCACTCCTTGGTGGCAAAGCAAACACATAAGATGATACTGAGGATCAAACCCAGGGCGTCACACACTACAGGCAAGTGCTCTACCATTGGGCCACAGCCCCAGTCCTTAGGTTTTATTTTGAGACAGGGTCTCATCAAATTGCTGAGGCTGGCCTTGAACTTGCTGTCCCTCAGCTTCAGCTTCCCCAGTCACTGTAATTACAGGCATGCATCTGGCTATACTGAAATTTTTAAACCTGTATCTGGGGGTATTTTTTTTTTTGGTGGTGGCTTTTGTTGTTTTTATTCTAATTTGTTATATATGACAGCAGAATGCATTACAATTCATATTACATATATAGAGCACAATTTTTCATCTCTGTATACAAAGTATATTCACACCATTCGTGTCTTCTTCATACATGTACTTAGAGTAGTTATGTCTTCCTCATTCCACTATCTTTTTTTTTAACCCCCTTGCCCCCTCCCTCCCCTTTGCCCTATCTGGCATGTGTGAGGCCCTGGGTTTGATCCTCAGCACCACATATAAACAAATAAATAAATAAAAATAAAAGATTCATTGACAACTTTAAATGAATAAGACCTAAACTGAGCTGGGAATGTAGCTCAGTGGGAAAGTGCCCCTGAGTTCAATCCCTAGTACAGGAAAGAACAGTTTCTGTTTTCACTTAATCTCACCAGACATACATGATCTGCGCAGCATGGCCCATAGCCATTGAGATAACTGGAGTCACCTGATACAGTCTATTACCCTAGGGTGAACAAAGTCAAATTGTTATTTTATCTTTGGAGGAATAATAAACATTTGGTTGAGCATGGCTTCTTTTTTGGTTTATGTGTTCTTCTGATATTTTATCATTTGACTTTGTCCCTCAGCACTGTGTGTCAACTCTAACGGTGTCTGTTTTAGAGCCAATACCTCTTAAGTTAATGAAAAAAAAAATGATACTGAGAGGGAGTAATCAGAAAGCTAGATAGGAAAGCAAGAGTGTGGTTATTCTAGAAACCAAGGAAGGTGTTTCCAGATGGAGCAATAAGCTCTGTTATTCTCTGCCACTATGATTAGGGTGGATCAGAGCTTACTGGATTTAATTAAACCACGGGTGATCGTGGCAGGAGGGATTTTATTGCAGAAGTAGGAGCCAGATGGCCGTGGGTGAAGAGTGAGTGGGAGGTGAGGAAAGGAAATGATGCGAATAGACAATTTCTTCAGTTTTTTTTCCTTTTCAGAAAAATCTCTCTTCCCAATAAGTGGAAGAATGAGTAACAATCTATGTAGTAACCGTAAGGAAGGTTGAGGTCCAGAGAGATTTTGGAATAGGACAGTTCTGAACAAACTTAAATGCTGATGGAGTAAGAAGGTAGAGAGGAGGCTGGGGTGTGGAGTCCAGCCAGCTCAAAGCACTGCCTGGGAAAGGTACAGAGGTTCTGGGAGAGGCCTGTCCTGTCGGGAAGCAGTGGGGCCTTGACTGACTGGAAGGCGGGCTAGGTTGTAGAGGATCTGTGAGAGCTAATGAGGTGTGCAGGCTAAATACTGGAACATGGGAGCCATGGCAGGTGCCTGAGCAGGATGAACCCGGTGGTTCCAAGAGTTCATCCTTAGGGTGGTGTGTTGGCGAGAGTAGAGGCAGGGAGAGAACCATTAGCTGGGCACAGAGAGAAGGTTCTGATCAGGGAACAGAAGGGAAGAGAAGCCGGTATTTCTGAGAAGGCACAGAACAAATAAAAAGCAGCACTTTTTGATTAGAAGATTACCCTAAAGGATGGTGAAAGGTGATATCAAGTGCTTAGGTCAGGGGTCAGCAGACTTTCCTGTGAGGGTGGGATAGCAGAGTCTTTCTGTCATTGTAGGTTACACAGTCCCTGTTGTGGCTACTCAGCTCTGCCAAATTAAACAATATGTACAAGATGGGTTGTGAACAGATTTGACTCAGGGGCAGCAGTTTGCCTACCCCTGGGCTAACACTAACAGTGGAGGTGTTAGGAAGTGGGTAGGTTCCTAGTGTCTTAGAAGGTAGGACCAACAAAATGTTCTGATTGGATGTGGAAGAATAAGGGAAAGATTAGAATCCAGGACACAAACAAGGTTGCAAGCAGTGGGTGGAGGTGAGGCCATGCACTGCTTTGATGAAGCCTAATGAAGGAGCAGGTTTTGAATGACAACCAGATAGTCCTGCTTGACCATGTTAAATCGGAGGTGCTCTATGGCTTACAGGATGTGCCAAGTATATAGTGGGGTATGGTATCTGGAGATCGCAGGGTGAGTTGGAGCTATAAATATTGTGGTCTTTCAAAAAACAGATGGCGTGGAAAGCTGCAGGACTGGAGGGGTTTCCAAGGGAGTGAGTTTTAGTGGGGCGAAGTCTACAAGGGGACTCAACATGGAGAATAGAAGAGACAGAGAGCTGGGGGTGGAGAGGAGAAGGAGAAGCGTGTGCTACATGAATGAAAGGCAGGGGATCCTGTAAAGCAGTCCTGTGTCAATATAATAACCTGTGTTAAATGTTGCCAAAAGGGCAAGTGAGGTTAGGATTGAGACTTAGATAAACCCTACAATTGGGGTGTCATAGTGTCCCCTAAAAAGTGCTGAACTCTTTACCCCCTGGACCCTAGAACAAGACCTTATTTGGAGATAGAATTGCTGAAGATGTAATAAGTTAACATGAATTCATTCTGGAGTAGCATGGGCCCCTGCTCCAGTACAACCGGTGTCCTCCTACAA